ACCAATGAGGAAAAAGATGGAGCTTGAAAAAAAAGGGACCCATACATTAACTAGATTTTCATCGCTCGCATTTTACGTGTGCCCGAAAAAACCTATCAGACTAATATAAGCAAGAAAGAAAAAAACAGCCTTTATATACACATCATATACACATAGATAGACAACCACAAAAAAAAGAAACGAAGAGAGCTGACGACACAGCAACGATAATGATGCTGATATAAACATAATAAAACGTGTGTGTATGTGTATGTGTGCATGTTAGTATGTGCGTTTGCGGTATCTCCTTTTTTTTTTTTTGGTCACAGTTGCTGACGTATGTTGTTCTTTTCGTTTATTTTAGTTAAATATATCGAAGGTAAGCTGATTTGTTTCGAGATATTGAAAGGATTGCAAAGATTATACACATACAATACGCTTGCATTTGTTCATTTATACAGTTTCAAGGCTATATTGTTGATTGTTGTAAACGAGTATGTATGCTAAGTAATATGAGACAATAGGTTTCTCTATATGCAAATGTGAGTGATATTCGCAATTATGACAAAAAAAAACAGTTTGATGATGGGCAGCATCAACATGCTCTTGTCTTATCTATCGCCTACTGGGTTTTGTCTCTGTGACACTGATTGATGGGATATTATGAGACAGTTATAATCTTGCGATGAAAAGCTTCGTATACATCCATAAATATATATCCATAAATTCGACATGTACGATTCGAATATTGATCATATATTTAAAATAAAAAAACTTAACATTATCTCTGTAGCATTAAGGTTTTATATGTTTATGTATAGATCATAGGTACCTTTTTTTTTCTTTTTATCTTTCTAATGAAGGTCAAGAACAAATGATAACAATTATTAGTTTAACCAATTTAAAAATATGATTTTTTTCTTCGTGCCGCACACAAAAAAAAGGAAAATTAATAAGATAAATGACTAATCATGAGCCAAAGTAGATGAATTGAAATATTTTATATAAGAGCAAAGATAATTTTGTAATGTATATGTTGAGATATTTTTTCGACGAAATATGTAGAATCAAGGTCATTAATATCGTATAAATTCGAAAGAAAGTGGTTTTACTTTTCAATAGTGAGCATCGAGGTTTTTTTTTTGCGCGGATCAAATTTTTTTTTTAATGTCTCATATATGTGAGTGTTTGCTTTTTGATAGAAATCTATAGAAAAATGATAAACTTGAGATGATCAATGCCATAAGCGGATAAAAACTATTTGCGCACTGTTCTTCTTTTTTTACTCAATTAGAATGTTTTGATAGACTATGCATAGGCATGCTAGAAATACTTGTTGAGACATTCAATTACTATCGCTCGATATTTTCGTAATATAAGCAAGCATAACGAGAGAAGATAGAGAAACGAAAAAAAAAAGAAAAAATAGGCATCCCATCGAGAAATTTGTTTTCTCGGTTGATAGGCATCCCTCGATCGTCAATAAGAATCAATCTTTTGAATAAAAGAATATGATGGTTATGATGAAAAAAACGCAAAATCGACCTTCTCTTTTTCTTTTTTTTTTATGCAGTAAACATTTGCTGTTGACGCTCTCGTTTCTGTATTAATGCAGTCCCTGTGGTTTGCGGCTGTATGTCAAGAAAAAATGAGTATTGAGAGAAAAAAAAGAAGAGTGACGCGTGTCTGTTGTAACATATAAAGAAGCAGATATTTTGAACAATCGTCATGTCCTTGTCGATCGTAATGGATTGGTAAATTCCATCATAAGAAGACTACTAAATCATGCATCTTATTAAGTTGATAATGATGATGATGATCGATAAGCATATACAAACTATGTATCATACATTATAAAACATAACTGAACAAAGAAAAGAAGAATTTAGTATTGAAGTGAGTACAGTTTTCGTTATTTAGTAACACCCACTGAGTAACAATTACCACGGATTGATAAATAATGGAATAGTGCCGTCTGTTTTTACACTTATTTAAAAGTTTCTGTATATATGGCTGTATAGTCTTTTTTTTCTTCTTTACTTGTCGTGCCCGTTGTCCCGCGATTCATTAAGTGTTGTTTTTATTATTATTGTTATTATTATTATATATATATATATATATATATATATACTTTGTATCACCTTAAAGAGAGAGAAGTACAAAAAAGACAAAAAGAATAAAGAAGACAGATGTAAGTGTTGATATTGTGTACCTTAACTTACAGTAATGTAATAAGTTTTTCTTAAGAGTTAATTGGACCAAAAGTCTTTCCTTATCTTTTTTTCTACTGGTATAATGATGATAGACAAAGATACTGAACGAATTATGTTTTCAGAAAAAAAAACAATCAAGTCTCATTTGTATATCTAAATGACCTAAATCTTACTCCGTTTTTTTTTCTAGTAAGAACGATATATGCATGCATGCCTATATAAATATTTTCGTATTGATGATCGTATAAGTAATACATCCTTCTGATGGTATTGTTTGTCATTTTCTAGTAATTGATGTAGCTGCTGTGAAAGACATAATATTTTGGATAATTTATTATCGGTGAAGAAAAGAAAGAAAAGGACAAAAGATAATAAAAGAAAAGATATTACTGTTGCGGTCTACAGTATTGGGATTTTCACTACTATTTATTACTCATTACAACAACTACCGCAGAGAGAAAAAATACTAACACAGTCGGAGGGTTAGCTCGTTTTTTTCTGGCTTCTAGCACTAGCTGTTTATTTGTTTGGCCGTCAGATTTGCTGCTAGTGTTAACAGGCAAGAAAAAAATTATTTCTTTTTACTAGACAAAAGATAGACATGGCTTGCATAGTATGGACTACTTGTTTGTGTATATGGTATAGAAAGCCAGTCCTTTTTCTCGTATTAGTATATAACTTACACATCCATTTCTCATTTTTTTTTCCCTCAGGAGAAAAGCTAAAGTAAGTAATAATTGATAGATAACAATGATGCAGGGAAAAAATTTCAAAATCTTGCATTGTTTCTTACATATAAATATTTTGCAAATTATTATTTTGGAGCTTGTCCTTTCTTTCTTATTCTATCTCAAAATCGTTAATAGATTATATATATATATATGATATATGCGTGAGGACCGTACTATGATCTATGCAAAAAAAAGATACGTTTTCTCAGAGAATTTGTTTATATTTGATATGCATATATGATGAAGTCTAATAGTATTTCTGTCTCAAAAGAATAACTTCGACAGTTAAGATAATTGTATCATAACAGGTTATGAAAATCAAAGAGGTTCTCTTTCTAGTATATCAAATAAAGTATACTAAACATTGTATCTGTGAACAGAAGCTTGGTTTTTATGTATTTCTTTGTTCAATTTTTCAGATATCATTCTCTTAATATTTATTTAAACTTGAAGATCCTAGCTTTTCCGGGATGGACGTAAGAATTATCACAGGTTTATTGCTGTTTTTTTGTTTAATGGCAAGTATATCAATCTCACAAGTAAGAATATCTTTTTTTCATATTCTACAAATCAGTTAAATTACAAATTTTATACATCAGAGCGCCTCTGCCAAACTCGATACAAGGTTAAGGTATAGACGGCAAGACGATGAAAGTAAGTGCATGTCAATAAAAACAAATAACTATGTTAACTCTTCCTATAAATCATACATATGAATATCTATTGCTATTCTTTTCCTATGATTTATTTTAATGATCAATTTCTTCAAGATATCTTTTTGCTATCTGCTTTCTCCCACTCCAAAGCCATTATTATCAGGAAGGAAATTAATTTTGCAAAAATGATTAAACAAATACACTACCTAATGTGATGAAAATCTTATAGATGATGATAGTTCTTCTGATGAGTTTAACTATGGTAAGTATAATAATCAATTATCATTATCAAAAAAAGCACTTATTAATGTCCATCAAACCATTCCTCTGTAGTTAGAATATGTACTGCGCAGCCATTACCACAATTGGTATTCGTCAAAATACGAAACCGATTGCTATAATGAGAGCAAATGTATCATTATTTGACAAATAACAACAGATATAACTGTAACTTTCTCTTTCACACGTATCAATACTTGATTAAAAAACTTGACTACTAGCTGTGATAATGATGTACAAAAGAATATATCAAATTTCATGGCTATCTTTGTTTATTTTAATCTTTTTATTCTTGTTTGTTTTGTTTGATGAAAACTTTTGGTTTTTTTTACATCTATTTTTGGTATAATGAATTAATTATTTCTTTTTTCTTCTTTGTCTTGTAGCTGATCAAGGTGCAAATGATAATGGTAAGCCGTGTAAAAGATATTTTTAATTTTCTTTTTTTTTCTTCTAATATTGTAAATTAAGCTGGCTTTTTTGTACTGCTAAAATTTTCTTTCTTCTTCTTATTTACTAACATACATACTCACACACACACGCATACGCTATATAGAAGTCACAAATACAGTTAGTACTGAAGAATCAACTACCGGTGCAGTAGCAAGAGCAACAGTTATACTTAATGATGGCACTACAATTGTCTTACCACCTGGAACAACAGCTACGATTCTTGCTGATGATGTTACAACGACTGCTGATGGTAGCACCGAAACAGTTGACACAACTACAGTTGGGTCAACCGCAGACGATACTACTATCGGCGCTACTACGTTAGAAGCAGCAACAACAACTGCAGATATCACTCTTGAAGCGTCGACTACTGCTGCCGATACTACTGATATAACTACAACTAAAGATGAATCAACAACTGCTGACGATGCTACGACCGATAGTGCTACAACTGAAGCTGTTACTACCGATGACGCTACGACAGATAGTGCTACTACTGACGGTGCCACATCCGATGGAGATACAACTGATGGTGCTACGACCGATGGTGCTACCACTGACGGTGCCACAACTGATGGTGCTACAACCGATGGTTCTTCTACTGATGGCTCTTCGACTGATGGTTCTTCTACCGATGGCTCTTCGACTGATGGTTCTTCTACCGATGGCTCTTCGACTGATGGTTCTTCTACCGATGGCGCTAGTACAGACAGTTCTTCTACTGATGGCGCTAGTACTGATGGTTCTTCCACTGATGGATCTTCTACCGATGGCACTAGTACTGAAGGATCAACAGAAGATCACAGTGTAACAAGTACTGATACATCATTGACAACAGTGACAGGTACCGATTATATTGTCCTGATTTGGAATGGAATGGTGTGTGCACGACGATACCAAGAGAATAATATTCCTTTTTTTTTCGCTTTCCTATTTGTCTTTATTGCATGTGTTGGCTTTTGTGTTTTCCTACAGGCAATAATGCAATAGTTAATCGGTATTCTTCTTTATATTTCAGGTACAGAAGATACGGAAGGTAAGCTTTTTTCTGATAGTGTGCTTTGGAGTGATTTGTATTTTGCATGAATTTTATAAACGTGTGTGTTTGGGCATGAATAGCATATGATGATGAAAACGAAGAAAATAAACAAACACCAGAGACAACTACAGTTCCTCAAAATGTTAATGACAATGAAGAAGATGAAGCTATTGAAGATGGGGATGTTAAAATAACAACAACAACAGTAAAAACAACTCCAAAAGCAGCGAGTGATATAGACGACACATCAGATGATGTTGAATATTATGATGAGAATAAAGAGGAAGAAGGACATTCAACTCCTGAAGTATCACCCGTTCCAACTCCGACAAGTGAGATTGATAAAAATAAATACATATCGTTTATAATTTCGTAACGGTGCTCATTGCTTACTGATCAATTAGCTTCTTTTCAATCGGTACATATATCAGTAATCGTGTAATACTATTGGTTTCTAATAATCATCATATTAGGCTATATTGCTACATTGCATGACAATATTTATTATTTATGTTTGCTAATTGTTTATTCATTTCTTTTATTCATTTGAATGATGAAATGATAAAATAATATATCTTCTTTTTTAGATACAATATCAACGGATGGTGATGAAGGCAAGTTTACATATTAATTATATTCGTTTTGTATCTTTCCGAAAAACATATATAATATCATGGATGTTTATAGAATTCTAAAAGAAAGCAATAATGTGTCTATTAGAATATGTAATGTTTACCAATCAATTAATCTGATATAGAGCGAATAAGTTCATCTTAAGAAGTCATTTGTAGATGAAGATTATTTCTTCTACTGTTAAATAGACCGGTGTATAGATTGACAATAAAATATGTTTTTTGTTTGATTTTGTTCCTTAGACTCTACTCAGCCATCACACGTTGAAATTCGTGTGATTGTAAGCCCAACAGATGTAAAAGTTCAACGCGGTCAAACAGTTGAATTAACTTGTACTGTTCATACTGGTGATCCAAATATAAATATTTACTGGATTCAAGAAGAGCCTGAACGAGTAAAATAAATCGAATTCGGTTGTTTTTCTTTTTCTCTAAAATAAATTATTTTAAAAATTGTTTGTAGCGTTACGCTTCACTAGATCCAGCTCAACCAAATGATAAACAAGTAAAAGGATCGCAAGTTATATCAAAAGCGCGTATTACACTTGATGATCCAAGTAAAATTGGTAAATATACATGTATGGCACAAGATAATGCTGGAAACAGTGGTGCAGCTATTGTTACTATGCAAGAAGTTGATGGTGGGTATCATCCGCAACCCGAATACCCAGATGTTCAACCCTCACGTACAGCTAAATAAGGAAATTTTCTTTTAACTTTTTATTTATTTTATAGCGGGTGGTAGAAGAGCTTTACATATTATTGCACCAGATATGAGTGAAGGTGATTATGTTGAAATTAAATGTGAAGGCGCAGAGCCAGAAGATGAATCACGTATTCAATGGTACTTCAATAATCGAGTATGTATTGATTTTTTATTTGGTTTCAGATGTACATATTACATTTTTAAAAACGAAAAGAAAAAACAAAGAACAGTTCGTTTCAGTTAATTGAAATTTATTTTGTTTTTATTTATTTTTATAGTTAATTGATAGTTCGGTAAGTTTAAAACGAGCTTTGTTTCTAACAGGGAAATTATGCTCTTGTATAAAAAAATCTTGATTTTTACTCTGATTGTTCGTTTCAATGAGAGTAGCCAGAATTGTCAGACGTGAGTATATCAAGATTCACAATTAGGCTCATATATTTATATATATACATTTTACACGCTAATAAGTGATTGTCATAATAAAATAAAGAAAAATAAATTTTAAAATATTTTTAGCTTATTACTGATGAACAACCACTTTATCCACGTGGCAAAACTCTTCATATTCGTCCAATTTCGAGATCATATTTGGGCAATTATCGTTGTTCTATTCCGGAGAGTAATTATATAGATGCTAATAGTGTTTTGACATTTGCGGGTAATTTAAAAGTCAACAAAAAGTAATTTTTTAAATAATCTTTTCTTTTTCTTTTACATTTGTTAAGGACTGGCACCAGCGCCAGGTACACTAATATATATAGTACGAAATTTGAATCTAGTGTTTTTTAAATTTAGTTGACCCTGTTGGACCAGTACCACCAACCGGTCAATGTCGTGATGATGAGGCACACTGTCGTAATGGTCGATGTATTCCTCGCTCATATATTTGCGATGGTAAAAATGATTGTGGTGACAACAGTGACGAAACATGCGGACGTAAGTTTGATTGTTCATGCAGAGTTTTGTTTTTTTGTGACTGATTTTCTTGCGTGATCACTCTAGCAGCTGATGGCAGTGGTAAGAAAATAAGCTTTACGCTCTATTTATAAGACAAATTATTCTTGCTAAATGCACAAAAAAAAACTATATTTATCTCGAAGCAGCTGCATGCTGCGTTGCTTGTTTGCAATAAAAAAATAGCCACAACGGACAACTAAATTAATAGACGATACATTTCTTTTGCAAATTTTTAGGTTCTGATGTATGTCAACCAAATGAAATTCACTGCTCAAATCCTAACCGTGGAAGAAAATGTGTTCAGAAGTTTTGGATGTGTGATGGTGATCGGTAAGATATAGATTAAGAAAAAAAATGCACAAATCTAAATTGGTTCATTTTAGTGATTGTGATGATGGAAGTGATGAACAACAACATTATTGCGGTATGTAAAAAAATTTGAAAATTTTCGAAATGTTCGTATTCATATTGGTTCTATAGAATTACTTCCACGACAACGTTATTGTAAACCAAGTGAATTTCAATGCCATGGTGTTAATGATTCATATGGAAATCCAGTATGTATTCCACGATCATTTCAATGCGATGGTTATAGTGATTGTCCTGATCGTTCGGATGAAGTCGGTTGTGGTATATTTAAAATAAAAATTGAATGATTCTTTTATGTATCTCATTGTTGTTTTATCTTTTTTTTTGTTTTTAAGTTAAGCCAACAATTATTTCGCCACCAGAACGTCAAATTCAGATCCATCCTGGTGAAACATTAACTATTCGATGTACTGCTCGTGGTTCTCCAGCACCATATATTAATTGGCGTCTCAATTGGGGACATATATGTGGTGATGGTTCTGATAATGGACGTTGTACAATGGCGCAAGCTTTAGATGCAAATGATCCAACAGTTGTTATTGGTACACTTACAATTCGTAACATCAATCGAAATGATGCTGGTGCTTATTCATGTGAAGCTCTTAATAATCAAGGTTTTACTTTTGCTATTCCTGATGCCATTGTTCATGTTATTATTGGTTTGTATTTTTTGTAGTCAAACGACAAAAAGAAAATTTATACAAACAATTTTTTTTCTCTATTAATAGATGTTCCTAGACCACCAGCATGTAATTGTCATGGTCATTCAGTATATTGTACACCAGATGGAATATGTCAAGTATGTACAGTGATTAGTCATTTGCATCGAAGGTCATGGTCGTGACCAACAACAGAAAAAAAAGAAAAGTGTTTTTTTTATATAACAGTCTCCCCTAATGAGACTAGAAGAATAATTCGAGTTGAAACTTTGGTTCAAAATTGTCTCGTTGTCAAAAGGACCCTTTCAAACTTAAAGATTCAATAATTTTCGGTAGAGATAAATGCTGTACATTAATCGTAACTGAGTTGCAGATCTCTAATTATAATATGTATAAAGAAACAAAACGAATATTTATCGTTTTATTTTTAGAATTGTCAACATAATACAGCTGGTCATTATTGTGAGCATTGTGCTGCAGGTTATCAAGGAGATGCTCGTGGTGGAACACCTTACGATTGTCAACCAATACCCCCCGCTCCTTCAACACGTTCGTATTTTGATTATTATTTAAAAACAATAAAAAAAAATGATTTGATTTCTATATGTCAAATAGATTGTGATCCATCTGGTACACATACGGAACGTAATGGTCGTTGTGTTTGCAAGTACAATGTTCAAGGTGAACAATGTAATCAATGTAAACGTAGTCATTTCTATTTAAATCCAACAACACCAAATGGCTGTTTACCATGTTTTTGCTCGGGTGTATCAAGTGACTGTAGATCTACGGAATGGCGACGACAACCTGTAAAACATTTTTTTCTTGATTAGTTAAACTAACACGAAACCATGTTTTTTTCTTCTTCTAGACTTCACTTCCATTAAATAATTGGAGTGCTGTACCAAAGAACTTTGCTATTGATCCATATGAAGCACGTGATCATATTCAACAACGTCATGGTGGACATGAAATATCTCTTGATCAAAGTTCATTAGGTCGATCAAATAATGAAGTTCTTTATTGGAAAGCACCGAAAGAAGTTCTTGGTGATTTTGTTACATTATATGATGGTAATATTGATATACACTTTACTAATGATGGTAATGAACATGAAGCACCAAGTAATGATGAATTGATTTGGTTACGTGGTAATAATATTGATCTCGTTCATAAACTTCCTTCAACACAACGATTTCAAGCAAATCGTAATGCAACTTATTCAGTACCATGTAACGAAGTATGCATATTAGAAGCAATAAAAAAATGGAGATCTTTTTTTTTTTAAATTTTATTGTATATATTGTTTTCTAGAGAACGTTTACACGTAAAGATGGTACACATATTGATCGAGAAAATATTCTTATGGCTTTATCAGACTTGGATACTTTGCTTGTTAAAATAAATCCAATTGGTGGTCGACGTAACGCTGTGTAAGATAAGAAAATAACTTTTTTAAAATTTTCATTCAATTATTTAATTTTAGTCTCCGTGGTGTTACTTTACATGCTGCTAAACCTGATGGTTATGCTGAGGCAGCACCAACAGTTGAATCCTGTCGTTGTCCAGCTAATTATACTGGTACATCATGTGAAAAATGTGCCGAAGGTTATGGTCGTCCACATCCATTAGTTGGTATTTATTTGGGTCAATGTTGGTCTTGTCGATCATTGTGTCATGAACGATCAGATCAATGTGATCGAGAAACTGGCAGATGTTTGGTATGTATCATATATAATAGTATATTTTCAAATTTTTTTATAATTATACCTATCTATTTTTCTCTTGCTTTTTTCTTTGAATAGAATTGTCAAGGTAATAGTGACGGTGATCGATGTGAACGATGTCGTCCCGGCTATGTACTTGACGGACGAAGCCATCAATGTGTACGAGATGACTACTATCAACCATGTAAAAAAATACATGAAAATTAAATTTTATTTTAAAAATTAAATTTATTTAGATCCACAACCAGAGCCACAACCAGAACCACAACCAGAGCCACAACCAGAGCCACAACCACAACCATCAGATGATACTGATGTTCAAGGCACATTTTACTTCGATCAAAGACCATATGACCCACGTAATCCAACACCATTGAGTATTGTTTTGGATGGTAATCTACCAGAACAACGCCTTCCACTTCAAATTCATGTATGTTGTCAATTGATTATATATGTATGTAATAACTATGGTTTTGTTTTCTGCAGCATGTTGAACCACACTCGGTTGTATGGGGTCGTACTGATGGTAGTCCATTACCAGCAAATGTTTTTCAAGAAGGTAATGATCTTATCTTTCGACATCCAACATCTGACCAAGCTGGAAATTATATTTGCACAATAACACATCCTAATGGCTTTATTCAACGTATTCCTATTTATGTAAATTATCGTCCAGGTAATATATACATTGTTTTTTCTCGTTCTTTTAAAAAATAAATTTTCTTTATATCATAATTTTTAAGGTGAATGGATCTATGATCGTCATCCACCAGTATTTAGTCCAGCAAGTCCATTATCAATTAATGAAGGTGCAAGTCAACTAATTCAAGCTCCAAGTGACTTTTATAGAGTTCAATGTACACGTGCTGATGGTCGACCACTTCCATCAGGTATTCAACAAAATGGTAATGCTTTAGAAATCACTCGTGCACATCCTGATCATTCGGGTAATTACAATTGCGAATTATATACTGCTGACGGTAGATCAGCTCGGGCTCCATATGACATTCATGTACGACCCAGTGAACGACATCCATCAACTGGTGGTAAGTTTCGAAGAATTAGATGCTTGTTTTCTTTTTTCTTTTGTTCTTGTATATTTATTATACCATAGAAGACAAATTAAAAAATCAAACAGACTCACAACAAATTATGATAACAAAATTTCCTAAACGGAAAGGTTATCTTAATTAATGTTGTCTTGTTGTTGTCTTTTTGTCTAAAAAAAAGATAATAGAAAACTTTGTTAATATCTCTTTTTTGTTATGTCTTCAGGTACTCCACCAAGAGTGACTATTCATCCACGAACAATTAACTTAAAAGAAGGTCAACGTATGATTGTTCAATATACAGTTGCTGTATGTAACATAAAATAAGAAAATTTATCTTTTAATTCATTATATGATTCTTGTTGTTTTATTTAGTCACATGATCCAATTCAAGTCGTTTGGCATAAATTAACTGATCAAGGTTATCAACCAATTCCATCATTATTTACTGTTGAACCAAATCGTCTTGTTCTTAATCGTGCCACACCTGACGCAGCTGGTACTTATCAAGTTACTGTAAGCAATCCACATGGCGAAGATCGACAAGAATTACACATTAATGTCGAACCAAGACGTGGTGGTCGTAATCGTGGTCAGCAAGGAGCTGCACCACAAATTGATTTTCCAGAAGCACGATATGAAATTGGTAATGGTGAAAAACTTGATATAGTACCAAATCTTTATGTAAAGAACAAAAAAAAAGTTTTTTTATTAAAAAAATCGAACTTTATTTAATTAAATCTAGAATGTTCATGGAGGAACCTTAACATGGTCAAAAGATGGTTCAACAGATTTACCTGATGGTGTAACTGCACGTAATGATGGTGCGTTACATATTGAAGGTCGATCAAATGATGTTGCAGGAAAATATACTCTTGATGCAGCTAATGCTCATGGTCGAGCATCAAAATCTCTTAATGTTTCGTGGAAAGAAACAGGTGAGTATAAAGTTTACTAAGAAAATAGACCAAAAAATAAAATCAACTATTTATTTGCAGTTAAACATTTTAATCGATTACAAAGAGCAAAAATATTTAAAAATAAATAAATAAACAATATTTTGAATTTTCGTAGATAACTCCTTTAGTAGAGCCCCCTTTCTGTATATCCGTGCTTTATCTATTAAAAAAAAGAACCCCCTATTCCCTTTTTGAAATAAATTTAATCATATTTTTATTTTATTTTATTTTCTGATCGTTTAGATGATCAACAAGACAATTCTGGTAAGTGACAATTTTATTGCTTGGTTTCCTTTTTAAATTGCTTTTGCTTTTTTTACGTAAAATACCTCCTTTGCTTTTTTGCTCATTAATTAATCAACTAATAGCTAATCAATATTGAAGAGTTCAATTGAATATTCGTCAATGAAGATTACATTAAGGGCCTTGCCTTGAAGCTGTTTGTCGAACAGATATTGGTCCATCAAAACTTCGTTTGAACGTAATACATTATAATTAACATCAAGTTCAACAAATATCATTTGGCCCCCCATTGTCAAATGGTTATTTATCATTAAGCGCTGTAATAAAACAAGATGATAGACTTGAATTTATATTGGTTCATATGGATATACTTATGATCTTTTCATGCTTAACATTCGCTTATGGATTAGCCATTTTTGTTTTCTGCTTATGCATCTGCTTGCCATGCATTTATTTATTACATTTTCATTTCTATAATCAAAAAACAAATTTCAAGTATATTTTATAATTCTTTTGTAGTTGATGATAATGATGGTTCGCGTAGTTATATTGATGTTCGTCTTTTATCACGTGATGATATAGAAAATCTTCAAGTCGGACGTGATATTCATTTACACTGTGCTGTTCATGGTAGTGTTGAACGTCCATATGAATATACATTTACAAAAGATGGTCAACCATTAGAACATAGTAAAATTCGACTGATTTATATGTTATTGAAATATTTATTTTGTTATTTTTTGTTATTGTGTATTAGATGTTGAAGTACATCCAAACGGTGAATTAATTATTCGTAATGCTCAAGCAAGTGATGCTGGACATTACCGGTAAAGCATTATTTGAAAACAACCTATTTTTAATAAAATATATTTTGGAAAAATTTAGATGTGAAGTTGCTTTCCCACGTGCACCTGGAGTCCGAACACAACAAAGTACTTATGATCTTCAACTTTCAGGTAAAAAGGTCATTTCTTTAGAATTATTCAAATGAAAATTTCTATTGCAGGTGGTTCAGCAGGAGGTTATGAACAAAGTCATCAAGATGGACATGAGCATGCTCAAGCATCTGATCATATTGAAGTGATTGCTGAACCATCCGAAGTAAATCTTGGACGTGGTGAAGAAGCAACAATCACATGTCGAGTTAATGGTGCTGACCAATATAAAGTAACATGGGGCAAATATGCACATGATACAAGTCTTCCAAACTATGCCCATGTATGTATTAATTGTTAAAATTTACTTTTCTTTTTTATAGAATTTTCTTTTTTTTTTATTAAAAATAGCAAGAAGGAAATAATGTTATAGTAGCACCAACACAGGATTCACCTGCTGAACAAATATACTTGCAATGTCAAGCTAATGTTCCAGGTCATGATCAACCACATCCGGCTTTTGTACGAGTCAATGTCCGCGGCGAAGATGAGTCGAGTAAGAAGAAAAAGAAACGACGCTCGTAAATAGATATAAACTTGTGTGAATTAATTATGCACACTAGTCAATATCAGTAGAACAACAATTATGTCTTTTTTCTTTTGGTTTTATTTGGTATCTATTTTCGTAAAAACTAGGTTTTTATCATTTCAAGCTAAAATTAATTAAATTTTCTTTTTTTTTCGCTTTGTAGTTCTTTCTATATGACCACATGTTTTAGACTTGCTACGCTGATCTTTCTTTCTTTTTTAATTGTGTGCATGTTCAGTTAGCTCCTATGTATTCGTCGTTTATGATTATTTATGTTTGTAACTGTAACACAGTGTCTATTTTTTTTTCTCCTATTTCACAGCTTTTTTTTTGCTAATTGCCCAATGGTGTTCTTTTCTTTCTATCTCTCACTCACTCTTTCTCTGTCGTTTATTTGCTAAAGCTACTAATATTACTACTAATACTAATGTTGTTGTTTGTATTTTTTTTTCGACTAACTTCATAAACAAGATCTTTTAAACAAAACACTGTAAATGTAGTTCACTGCATCCATACGCATATACATATATATTTATATATAGATATAGAAGTATTTGAAAGTAGTCTTAATTAATTGATGTATATATTTTAATTAATATTGAACTGATGTATGGATTGATTTAGCTATTCGTCTTAAGCCGAAATTATTAATTGAACCATCAACACATATTCGCATATCAAAAGGAGACAAATTGCGTATAAAATGTTTTGATCCATATGAAACTTACTCAACGACAATTAGTTGGTTTAGGTGTGTAATTTTAATTCTTAATTCTAGAAAAAAATTATTTAATTCTATTTGTTCAACGTTCGCAAAATGATAAGATTGACAAATAGTTCTAACATTGTTTTTGAAAGTCTTATTCAATTTCAATTGTTAATCAATAGGCTATATCTATGTAGTGAAAGAAGTAGAAAATCTATAACAACAAAATTTGAGCCATGATGCTTGTGAATCCAATTGAAGCTCAAATCATAGCATCGCATATATTTATTTATTTAAAATTCTAAAATCTATCTGTTGGTTAGAGAAAAGTTTAATCAGATAGATTATTATTAATTCTAAATGTTTCGAAATAATTGGTGATATTTTCAAAGTAAAAACAATCCTCTTATACGTTTTCGATTGAAATCATCTCGCTGTTCACAATAGCTAAATGTTTAGAACTGTTTCGATTTACTTTTATTGTCATAGAAGAATTGCTCACTTTGCAGAATAGAAATGTAGTCAATCTGAACTATGGTTCAGTGTTTGAAAGGAGTGGTTCGAGTTCGAGAACTATTCAGTCAGTTCTTTCTGAACATCGTTGATTCTATTTTTGAATGTCTGTAGTCAATCAATTATTGAATCATTTATTCCACTGTCTGTAAAATTACTATTTACAACCCTGAAACCTTTTTTTGTTAGCTTACCTTTGTTTCCTTTTATTAACTACTTGACAGTGACTGCATTCAGGACTAAACCCCACTCGAAACTTTCGAAATTCAGTGCATGCCTAATCCATGAGGTTTTTTCATATAATCCATGAAATATACATATGTGTTAGTGTCGATTTACATTTGACTATATGAAAATTGATGAGATCTGCTTCATACATTAGCATTTTATTACTAAATAATTTGATATCCATATATATCATGTTTACTTAGCCTTTATAAATGATTCATTGAAACAGATTTTATTGTTTCTTTTTTCTTCTCATCAATAAACTTTTGTGTTATCTTTCGAATAAAGATTTAGTAAAGACTCTACATTGATAATATTGCCAAATCAACATTCAAATGGTATTCTTGATTTCGACCCCGTATTAGATTCAGATATTGGCCAATACATCTGTCGCGGTGAAAATCAAGTTGGTTTTGCTGAAGAAATAGTTACACTTGAGCTAACTGGTAGACAAAAATAGTCCTTGCAGAAAAATAAAAGAAAAATTTATTTTTTTTCCATTTGAAAAATCATAGGATCTGCCCCTTCTATTATCATCTTACCAAAGGTAACTAATCGGTACCTTCAAGTGCCATACTATTCAACTCAAACTATCGAATGTCTAAACGAAGATAGTAGCACAACAGTTGATATCACTTGGCGTCGTGCAGATAATGTATGTAAATCAATTCTATTAAAAAGAATCATCAAACTAGAATATTTAAGAATGATCGGGACATATCAAAAACAGCAACACTTTTTCCATCTAATATGCCTTTACAATTCGAACATAGTGGTACATATATATGTATTGCTACAAATAAATATGGTACTACTTCAGAAACTATTACTCTTGATGGTAATATTTGTTAAAATTATGATTTTATTTCTTAATATGTTTATTGATATAGTTCAACAAATATCGCATGAAATTTCAATTGATATTGAACCTACAAATATATTTTTGGTTAATAGTGAAATACGTTTTAATTGTAAATTACCACAATCAAATGATATTTGGTGGTCATCTATAAATCAGCATCAACGAGAAAATAATCCACTTACAATTCATGTAGGATCAGATCATATTAATAGAAAATTTACATGTCATGCAAAAGATATTAATGGAAAATTACATAGCAAAATAATTCGTATTCAACGTTATTCAGCAGAACAATTAATGGCAGTTATTATTAACGATGAAGTTGCAAGAAGTTTACCATCTAATCAACGAAAAAGTACATAGATATGATCGAAAGCATTAAAATTTTGTTTTCTATTCTTTAGCCAAAACACCTAAAATTCATATTAAATTAATTACTGCTCGAACGGATATTAAAGTAGGTGGAGTAGTTGAATTACATTGTTATGTTGAAGGTAAAAAACTTGAATAGAATAATCACTTATCTATCTAATAAATCTAAATTTAGGTATTTTACCTAATAATTTGTCTTGGTCATTTCAATCAGGTTTATTGCCAAGCAATACACATGTAACAAATGATGGTCATTTATTAATTTTCAATTTCGATACAGACAATCTTGGGACATATATTTGTTCAGCCGAAACTCCTATTAAACATCTTTCAAAATCAATTGAATTTCAACCAAATGATATATCTAATAATAATATAGGACCATCTCTTTCATATCAAGTCTATTCATCTCGTTCGGATTATCGTGTTGGTGGTCGTCTTCTTATTGAATGCTTTGTTTCCGGTAGAATGGTTTTTAATAATTTATAACAGCATATTTTTTCTTTTCTAATACCATTTTAGATCCTAATCTATCAAAGATATGGATAAAAAAACAAGGCAAAGTAAATAAAAATATATCGGAAACTTATCTTTTTATTGATAGACTAAGTCAAAAGAATATTGGTCACTATAAATGTTTATCATCAAATGAAAACCAACAATCATCAATCGATTTTAACATTACACATTCGAATCTTCGTTCTCAGATATTTCCATTACAAAAGACATCAAATCTTCATATTGAATTTCTTTCATCACTTAATCAAATAAAACTTGGTGGAAATATTCTTATTAATTGTTCATCATCTGATAAGAGACCAGTACAATGGTTATTAAATAAACAAATAGATGAAATAATAATAAATAATTCTTATCTTCATATTCCAAAATTTTCAAATAATCATTTTGATTATTATCATTGTATAAATGAAAACGACCGAAAAGATTTAGTCTTATCTCCAAGTTTATTTGAATTTATGACAAATTTAAATTTAAAAAAAATAAATCCAATTAAGTACGATAAATCTTTTATTGAAATTATTGAAGGAAAATATATTGGAGATAATATTACTTTAATATGTCGAATAGGACGAGGTAATAGTGATTTTATTTTATTTTTTTTTGTAAATTAATTTTTCAAAGATTATGTTTTTTCTATATTAAGATGTATCACAAGGAAAAGTAGTTTGGACAAATGTTCCAACACCTAAAAATCATTTTTATATTCGTGGACCTCGTTTAGAATTTCGTCCATTTAAATTAGAACATCATAATCAATACAAATGTCTTATTAAATCGAAACAATCAAATGAAGTTTTACGTACCTTAACATTTAATACACATACAAATATTTACGAACAAACAGATAGAAAACCAAGCATAAATTTAACAGTCGATACATCATACTTATTGGATACTGGTGAATTAAGACTAATTTGTAGTACAGGTAAACTTCATCTCAATGCAAAATTAAAAAATAATTTTCTAATGAATTGTTTTCTAGATAATTTAAATCAATATCATCAATGGACATTTGATGATCAAATACCACGATCAAAAATTCATTATGACTTATCAATGGATGATCATACATCAATTATGATCATACCCGATTTTGATCTTGAAGTTGATTTAGGAAAATATGAATGTTCAACAACAAACACCTATGGTACAACAATGAGATCTATTAATATTGATAGTGATATGTTGAAATCAAATTGACAACGTATAGAATAATTTGAAATTAAACTTTTTATTTAACAAACGATACCCAAAGTATTAAGTAGTTGTGTTTTTTGTGTTGTGATCCAAGCTTGTGATAGGCATCTTGATTCAATTTGTTTTTTGTTTCTTGTTTATTTACATAGACTAAAAGGTTACTAACGTAACAAATATAATTTTTATTTATTTAAACACAATATAAAATGAATTCAAAGAAAAAGTATTTAATTTTTTTTAATGACTAATAATAACTTTGATAAAAATATTTTACGTTTAGTTTTTCTGCAACATTTTCAAGATTATTTGTTAGAGATATATAAACATAAGTTATTTTGTAGTTTACATCTTGAATTCTTCGAAGCAATAGATATGTTTAGATAATTCAATAAATATGAATTATTATCTACTACTTGGATATGATTTCCATTGTTTCAAATTAATACGAAAATATAGTCGAGGTTTCAAATAAACCAATCTGAACACTTTTTGCAATATAAGAATGAAATTCGTTAGAATTCTTTTTGATTATACAATTCTTAGTTATAGTAGGTATCATTGAAATAATCAATTTTTTTTGTGGAAGAGAAAAATATTTTTAATTCTTCAATGTATTAAATTAAGACTGATAAAATCAAGCTTTTAGAGACATTCTAAGTTTTCTTTAGTAAATGAATTTGCTTTAGTCTACATGAAAAGAATTAGCAAATTTTGGCCCTAGCGTAAAAAATTACTGCTAGATGCTGCTAACGCAATTAAATGCAAATTATTCTCTAATATAATATTGAACATTGCTAAATAATTGTATTTGACGATTCTATTTGTCGATGTAAGGAAGAAAACATGATTAGTAATTACAAATGCACACAAAAGTTTTTTTAGGCAAAACATACAAACGATGTTTCATATGTCGCAAAAATATAATGATGAATAAAAGTCTAATTTCGATTAATTGATGCTGTATCTAAATCAATTGATTAATTGTTAGTTATTAGTGAATCTCTTTCTTGTTACCGTAGAATATTCTTTTTCGTTTTTCTTTATTCTTTTCTGTTGTTATTATAATTTGCATAGTGAATGGGCAAGACAGTGATAGGTGGCAGAAGTGACTTTCTCTTGACATCTTCTTCTGACATACTATTAAAATTACACTCACAACAGAAAAGAAAAAAGAAAAATAAAGTTTGTGTTCTAGCGGTTTTCATTTTTTATTAAATAAAATTACAAGAAGGAAATTTCGACTCCCGAAACGTCACTAACAATAAAAAAAAATATTCTACAATAACTAATAGGAACAGATTTACTAATAACTACCAATTAATCAATCAATTATGACCTTAACAAAACTAAACCAAACTGTATCTAAATTAACTTACACTATATAGTACGAATAATAAAATTGATTTATGTGACAATGATCTTTGATGTAATACATCAGACACTTTTTTAATCATGTAAAGCAGTAATTCATTTGATTTTGAAAGTAGATACAAGTAAGTTTCAGTATCATTACTTTGACAATAAAGCTCTTTGAAGTTTATTATAAAAAGATCTAGACTATCTGGTTTCAATGTTTTATCCAGATTTTCTCTTTCGACGAAGCGATTTGAACCATTAAAAAGATTAGTCCAATTTTGAGAAGGACGTCGCTTTCTCAGCCTTCATGCTGTATAAAATATTGCTCTTCTAGAAAATAAATTTCTTTAGTACCATTTAGAAATAAAATCTTTCTCTCTTAATGGTTTTTGATTTTCTCATTAGATTTAGACTTGACAGTTTCATTCAATTATTGAGGATCTTTTCAGATATTTCTTCTTATGTGTATTTTTCTTGCAAAATCAACGCGAAACTTGCTGTGCATCTATGCTTCATTGAATGTCTGAATATTTGAGTTTTAGACATTTAATTATTGAATTTAACTTTTTTGTTTGAAACTCCTACATTAGATGTCACTGACTATATCAGTGTCACATTTTTGTTGTCTTTTTAAAATTTATTTGAAAGTGCTTTCTTTTCTTCTTTTTACATTTCTTCTTTATTCTTCATTTAGTTTTAACACACGCTTAAGCATATATGATACAATAAAGTAAATTTATTTAGTCGAATTATGATTATTTCATCATAACAAAAAAGAAACATTTTAAAAAATGTATGCACTGTTTCTTGTTTCTGTTATTTGACATTTTCAAACTAGATATGTCACTATCCTGTGATAAAAATGGTACGAATTGTAAGAGATTCTCATCCAATACAAAGAACAGTAGTAACACTGTTGTCGATCTGGTACTTGGTTCTATAGCATTTCTAATTTTTGTTATATCGCTCATCATAATTATATGTATGTTACAATGTAAAGGATGTGTTCGAAATAGATTACTATGTCGATTTCAACGAAGTCGGACGTTACAAAGTCAAGTATTATCGGATCAACAACAACCACAAGTAAACCCATAAAGGTCTTCTGATGAGCTATCGTCATCGTATCAAGAAGCAAATTAAAATGATACTGTTATGTTTGAATAAAAACGCTGAAAAAATGTTTCAACTCATCGATTATTTATTAATTTTGCATACTAATCTATTTAATTTACCGCGTTCTATTATATATTTTATGGAATACTTCCTTTTTGTAAAACATAGTTACACTTTTCATTTTGTATCTTAATCAAGATTTTTATACTGAAATTTGAACATAAAGTTGGTCATTATTGGCTAAGATTGGAAGGATTTTCGTTCATGCAATATCAAAGCTTTGATGGTGAAAGTTTCTTTGAAACAGACTGGCATTGCCGTTTCTACATAAATTTTATCTAAGATTTGAGTTTGAACTAATCCAAACTTGGATCGAGCAAAAATCTGAAATTGATGTTAAATTGCTGATTTTTTTTTTTTGATGAACCACGACACAGACGATACTTCTCGTGTACATAGATGATTGATCATGAAAGTCGGATTTTAAATAGTTATAAAAAAACCACTTTTCTTTAAGTTCCCATTTACACATAAAACTACTTAAAACTCGTTTAATCTCACTCTAACTTTTGGAAAGAGTATTATAAAAGTAAATATCATCAGTTTATTGTAGCTTATGAATAAAAAGTTCTGAATTGAACAACGATTACAGGATCAAAAAAAAAGTTTTGATCTTAACTTTTTGTTCAATTCAAGTTTGCACTAGTTCAAACTCGACTCTTCGATGTAACGTTGATAGATATTTTGTATTGATTTGCAGAACACAAAACAATGAAACAAAGTTAACTAATCAATCATGAGTAAAAAAGACAAGTTGTCAGTATGTTTGTAGTCTTTGTGTATTTGGTCCTTTCAGTTAGTTGACGCTTTTATCATAGAATTGAATAGTTTCAAAAAACTGGAACCGTTCCATCATCAGATCGCTGTAAAGAGTCTTAAAGCTATGCCAAAATATCTTCATTGTTTCATCCTTGAGATTAAAGATTTTAGTATATGTGTGTAAAATTGGTTTTAGGTACTGAAGTATGTGAAATTTTTAATGATATCAAATCAATCGTACACATTTGTCACAAGAAATTTCAAGATATTCGTATTTATCGGATAATTTAATAATTTCGGTTTCATATAATACTTTGAGAATCGAATCAAAATCGTTTTTTCTTATTTTTATTAATCAGACTTGCCGAACTCTATCTTAGGATAACACTCAACATAACTGTCCAGTCAATCTATATTACTACCTCAATTTGATAATAAGTACATGAATACATAGATGATTATTTTCTATGTATATATATAATTAGTATGAGTTCAAATATCTTGCTTACTGATGCTTTGAAACTCGAAGTTTCAATTCTTCTAATATGGATTTCAATACTATACAACAGACTCGGCTTCTTATTGACGAGAGAACTTATTCAACTGCTATCTTCCGATTTCAACGTTTTTTTTTGTCTATAGATACTGCATAATGTTATAATAAATATTCTGAACGGTTTTGAGTTCCTATTGATATTTGACCAAGCTATCGTACTATGAAAATATCTATTTTCTAGAAATCCTTGTAGGATCCCAGGTTTTCGGAAAACCGTTTTTTTTTGAATTTCTATGTAAAACATTGTACATAAAGAGTTCAACTAAACTAAGTTCCATAAAACATTCACAAACTTTGAATAAAGTCTCTTCGAGATATGAAGTTTTCAAAAAATGCATATTGAATACACTATCAATGGAAAAGGATCTATATATTGAAAGTCTCATATCTCGAAGCGACTTTGTTCAAAATTTGTGTATTTTTTTATGGAACCTAATCTGGTTAAGTTCTTTATATGTGCACAGTTTCATATTAAAATTCGAAAAAACCAAGTTTCGCGAAAACTTGAGGTCCTAACAAGGCCTCTAGAAAATATACATTATACAAGTCTCAGAGCTTAGTCAAATATCAAGAAGAACCAAAATTCTTGAAATTGGAAGAGAGCAGTTAAAGACGTTCCATCATTCGTCGAAGATCAGTTACAAGAATATATCCATCAGAGAGGATGATCAACACAATATTGATATCGTTTTCTATGTCAAAATAGTATTTGATTTTTTTGAACAATATAACCTTTTTGTTTGCTACCTAAAAATATAGTCTTGTCATTGAATTTGTCTGCCAAACATCTTCACTATAAATTCCAAACAAAAAAAACCAGAAATATCTGCTATTGTCACTAGCAAATACATTTGAAATTGTATTTTGGAAAGAAATTCCAGTTTGTGATTGCCGAATAAAGGTGTCTTCAAACAAGACTCAGTTGCTTTTTGAATAACTAACTCTGCTTATTCAATAGAATTGTATTAACAAAAGAAAAATTGTGCGAATATGTAGCTTGTTGTTTCCTACACCTAATGGCTTTATAATAAAATTTTTTGAAACCATGATAATAGAAAAATGTCATCATGATCGAAATCGTATGAAGATGTTTTTTCGTACAAAGCATGCATGATTTTGAAAGAGTGATCTCTCATTTATCGTAGAATCAGTCAACAAAGCTAAGTTTTATAGAGTAAATACAAGACGACCTTATGATTCTGTTGAGATTCACCAAGTCTTAAGAAATTCGTATTTTGACTATGTTCGATCAAGAAAGAAATCGTACAAGTAATTTTTTGATCATTGTATATAACTTTGACTATCTTAATCTTCCAGATATAATCTTTGTAAAATTTGAAATAAAAGTAATTAATTATTGTATATTTCGATCTTATTGTCAATCAATAATAACACATATTCGTCGATTGTAATCATTTTTCTTTTTCTTTTCTTTTTCTGTTCCTTCTATTTCTTTTTTGATTGTTTTCTAATGTAATCATCTAGGTTAGGCTTCAATAATGTAAATTTCAATATATCGACGTTACTTTCACCGAGTTTAATCAAATATTTTTCGCATTAATTCTTGTATGTTTTGGTGTTAGTTACAAAACCATTATGCCGTCGTCTGTATGTTCGAGTAGTACGAGTTGTTATTCTTACACTAGTTCCACATTTAATGATCTTGCAAATATTGGCAAAATTATTGGTATTGTCCTTGGATCTATATTAGGACTTGCCATTTTGATATGCATTATTGCAATTATATTTTGCACTTTTTGCAAAAGAAAACATCAAGTACAACTTTGGTCTAATCCTAGTCAAAGGCCACCATCCTATGAACAATCTATACCAATATATCCATATACTAATTATCCACAAGAATTTATGGCATCACCAAAATTAGACTCGCAGAAGATAGAAGAAGAACCACCACCTGCCTATGAAGAAATCAGCACAATTGAAAATTTGACTGAAAGGCTATAAGCATTTTCTTATATTTTGTATTATAAAAGTTATAATAAACAAAATGGGAATATCAATGATTTCCTGTTTATGATATAAAAGTTAGAAGTATTTTAGATAAGTATTATTCTATTGCAATTGTTAATTATTAGATTGATTAACGAAATCAACTACTTATTTAAATTAGATTGCATACATATGTATATTGATCACATAAATATCATCAGATACATACATACAATTTGTTAAAAGTTTTCTATTAGCCTACGTTTTTTTAGTATTAAAACCCTTTTAGAAGAAGACTTGCGGAAAACTCACGCCTTTATTAAAAAAAACTGGTCAACTTTTACGGGTGATCTTCCAATAAGAATGGTCCTCCAACATGGAATGAAGAAATGGGTTAACAATAATTATTAGCTCAATGTAGATCGATAATATTGACGTTGTCTATTATTTTGGACAATTCAAATATTGATACGCTTTAAAGCAAAAGTAAACCTCTTTATTTTCGTTCCTGCCTCCCTGCCTACTCATTTTTTTCTTGCATTAAATCAATAAATCGTGGCCTGTTTCTTATTAGGTTTTTTTTTTGATAAACATACCGAGTATTATTTAACAATGAATTTTAACAGTAAATTGTCACATTCAACAATCTTCATTTTTCTGTTTCCGATTGCGTGACAGTTACAAGATCATATACTTTACACTATGTAGGAAAAAAGCATAATATTAACATTAACAAATCACACAGATATACTTTTATTGAAATTTACATCAGAGAACAACTGATGTTTTTACTTAATCGGTGACAGTTATAGTTGCTCGTTGCACTATTCATTCGGTGAACAACAAAGTCAATCTGGCATTGATAAAAACATGAATGAATCTTTTCTTTCGATAGCAGATTTCAATAATATACGAAGCGATTTATTAATTAGTGTACAAAATAAAAATCAAGCGTCTAGTATTGTGGTTGTATAAATGATGTATGATCAAATTTAACAACCTTTGCAGATGGAATATGATTCTTTTTGTTGCTTGCAATTCAGCAATAAAAAATAGATATCAACTTGAATAAAAAAATTAATAAAGAACGAACACTAATTTGCTGTTATACTATAGTTTTCTTGAATTATGAATGTCATCTGCTATGATACATGACAGTGAAATATGTGAATAACCAATGAATTAAATGGAAAAATAGCTGGCATGAAATAATAAATTCACTACACTAAAAATAAACTATATATTATGTATCTAACTCTGCGAGAAAAAACGATCTTGATCAAACTAAAATTCGTCATATGATAATAAATATATCCAGAGGAAAAAGTGAAAATCATTTTGAATGTTAATGAAATTTTTCTATGACAAGAAAAATTTAT